CCTGGGATCGAGCCCCGCATCGGGCTCCCTGCCCAGTGGGAAGTCTCCTTCTCCCTCTCCCTCTGCTCGTGCTCTCTCTCTCTCAAATAGATAAATCTTTAAAAAAAAAAAAAAAAGAAAATTCCAGAAATACAGAATACAAAAAAACAAAAAGAAATCACCCACTATCCTGTTGGCCAGAGAGAACTACTCTTAACGTTCTGGCCAATCACCAATCTTTCAGCTTTTTTCTATGCATAGCGTGGGTGCAGTTTATTTGTAACACAAATTTGGGATATTCTTTTATGCTGATTTTATTCCACTTAAATCATATACATATACCCATGTCATTAAATATTACTCTATAATTTTAAACTTTTGTATAATATTTCATCCCAAAGATTATCCTTCATCATTCATTTTGTTTCTACTCTTATATAAGTAACACTCTTATGAACACATATATATATAAGGTCTATGTGCACAACTTATTTATTTAGGAGAAATTTCTAGATGTATATTTACTGAACAGTGAAAAACATTTTGTTAAGTTCTTAATATATATTGTCAAAGTGCTGTATAATTTACACTCCTACTGGAAGAACGTGTTATATATTTCTTAAATTCCTTACCAGTACTTTAATCTTCACTAATTTGATAAATGGCAAATCATGTCATTTTAATTTGCATTTCCTTTTGTCATTAAGGCCAAACAATTGTTCTTATTCCCTTATTTTTCCTGTTTCTTCTTATACAAATTGCCTATTTTGCCTAATTCTCTTCTTTTATAACTGCCTAATTTACTATTTGTGATAGTCATTAATTTCTCTTAAGGGTCTGCAAGAGATCTTTATAAAGATGTTAAGTCCCTAAGTTGCAAATATTTTTCTTAATATATTACTACAATTAATTTTTTTAATTCCATTTTTTTTCTTCAGGTATGTTTTTATTCCATTTAGAGTTCATTTTGGTATAGGAGATTAAAACCTCAATTATTTTCTAAAAGGTCAATCTTATCAGCATCACAAACTGAACAAAGAACCCTTTCTCCAATTATGTGAAATGCCATACTTACCATAAATGAAATCTGTATGCATTAGATATTGGGATTTGCTTCTGGGCCTTAGATTTTTCCATTACTGTTTTTATTTTTGAGCCAGTACCACAGATGACTCTGTCTTTATAAACATTTAGATATATACTGGTATTGATACAATGTTCCTCATTTTTATTTTTTCCCAACAATTTCTTAGCTATTCTTGAAGGTTTATTCTTTCTAATGTACTTTAGAACCAATTTTTGAAGTTGAAAAATAAACTGGTGATTTTCAGTATAATCACAGACTTGTGCAGCCATCACTGCTATCTAATTTCAGAACATTTTCATCACCTCCCAAACAACCCCTATTCCTATAAGGAGTCCCCTAAATCTCCATTCGCTCCAGCCTCTGGCACCCACTAATGTGCTCTGCCTATTGTGAATGTCATATAAATGGAATTCTAGAATATGTGGCATTCTGAATCTGGCTTCTTTCCATCAGCATGTTTTCAGGGTTCATCCATGTATCAGGACTTCATTTCTTTATGGCTGAATCACATCCCATTGTATGGATATACCACATTGCATTTATCTACTCCTCAGATATTGGACGTTTGAGTTGTTACTTTTTGGGGGGGCTGTTATGAATTACACTGTTACAAACATTGCTGTAACAAGTTTTCAATTCTGTGGGGTATATACCTAAAAGTAGAACTGCAGGGTCATATGTGGTAATTCCAGGTTTAATTTTTTGAGGAAATGCCAAATCGTTTTCCACAGTGGCTGCATCATTTCACATTCCTACCAGCAATGTATAAGGGTTCCAGTTTCTCCGCATCCTTGTCAGCACTTTTAACTTGTTTTTTCATTTCAGCCATCCTACTTGGTATGAAATGATATCTCACTGTGGTTTTGATTTGCATTTCCCTGATGGCTAATGATGCTGAACATCTTTTCATGTCTTTATTGGCCATCTGTATGTCTTTTTTTGCAGAAATGGCCCTGTGTGCTTTCTCAGGTGACATACCATTATCAACTTTTAATTGGCTAGTAGTAATAAATTCTATTCAAATGTGAGTCTTTCCTCTCACCCTACCCTCACAAATGAGACTGTTTTAAAATTTACTTAAATAAATGTCTACCTAAAACATACAATCACCATAGAAAACAAAACAGAAAATGAAAATGTCATAATTCCACCCTCTAGCACTGTTCACAATTCTTTTTTTTTTTTTGACTAGAAAATGAATACGTGTTTATTATGGAAAACACAAGCCAATAGATCTGTAATAGCACTGTATGTGTGTATATATATATACATATATATATATGTTAAGCAGTTACAATATGCCAAGCACTGTTCCAAACACTTTAAAATCTCATCCAAAGCTAATAATATATTAAAAAATTATATTAGGACCATCTCATATTTAGTTTTAAAGATCCTTATCCTATAGTGAACTTTTTCTTTAAATAATCTTCTAAAATATAATTTTTAGTAGCAACAAAATATTCCAATTTGTGATGAACTGCAATGTAACTAATCTGTTATTATTGGAGGGTTAGAGTGGTTCTATTATAAAGAGCATTTTCATATATCAAACTTTCATATTTAATATAATAGCCCGTGTTTATTGAACACTTAGTACAAGCACTTCTGACGGCCACTTTACGTGGATTTTCCCATTTAATTCACATCACTCAATGAGAAAGGATAGTACAGTCAGGATTCAAATTAGGTTTGTCTGACCACTGAGTGGAACCTTTAATTACTACACCACCATACTATATCTCCCAGTATTTCTTTAGGATGAATTCCTACAGGCAGAACTACTAGATTAGAAAGAACACACTTTTTTGGTAAAGTCTGATAAATGCTGCCATGTTGTCCTTCAGTAAGACTACAACAATTTCTACAATGCTTGTTTCCATAGCCTTATCAATGCTGGATACGAGTACTTTAAAAAAAAATATTTTCGGGGTGCCTGGGTGGCTCAGTTAAGCGTCTGCCTTTGGCTCGGTCATGATCTTGGGGTCCTGGGATCGAGCCCCACATCAGGCTCCCTGCTCAGTGGGGAGTCTCCTTCTCCCCCTCCCGCCAGCTTGTGCTGTCTCTTTCTCAAATAAATAAAATCTTAAAAAAAAAATCATTTTCAATTTCCTAAGTAAAAAGATGCCAGCTCATTTTATATGTATTTTTAAGCTGCTTTAGACCGGTGGTACTTCTGTGATTACTTCCTCTAATAGACAAAGCATAGTAGGGCATGATCTCCTAGCTGGGCCCACTGGCTTCTAAGAACAGAAAGGGGATTTTGCAAATTCATCACTCTCACTGAGAGAGCTGCAGTGGCAGAGGGGAAAGGAAGGGCATGGAATTCAACCAAGGGCAGGGCATAGCTGGTGGACAACATGTGAGCCTAGGAGCAGGCCCAGGCAGCTGAGTCAACACACCACTAATGAGCTGTCATCTTCAACATCGGATAGTCTCAAGAAACCAAGAATTTCACCTTGGCCCTGTGTTCCTGATTTTATGGGAATGCCACTTTAAAAGGTCCACATCAAGGCAGGCAAGTCTCCAAAGACTGCTCAGCTCACCTGGACTCCACCTTTCTCTTTATCCTTCATGCTCCTCATGCCCCTCCCACCCCCTCCCCACTATCAAGTTGTGGAGCTGAGATGACCAGACTCCCTAAAGACTCCCTATCTCCCACATCCCACCAGATGACTTGGACTCCTGACAACGAGGCAGCCTTCCTTCTGGCAGCTGCTCCCAGTGAGCCCAGCCGGGATGAGAAGCCATTTCTGTGCTCCCACTGTCCCCTGGGCTTCTAGCGCCTGCAAGTGTCAGACTGCTTTGTGACTGTTCGTATCTGTTCCCTCAACTAGATTCTCAATTTGCTGAGAGCAATCTCTTGGTTATTATGCCACACCCAGCATACAGGGCAGTGTCTGGGAATGAAAGAGTTTCAGTACTTTTTCATGGATAAATTATAATGAGTTGATCGAGCAAACTGGGAGTCACTTTCACCTAAACTTTCTATCTGTGAGGAACAGAGAAAGGAACTAAAATTTAGTGAGCCTGTTAGGTGCCCAGTACTTTACACACATTAACTCAAATAATCTTCACAATAATCCACTGAGGCAGACAGTGGAGCTGGTATTTCACAGATAAAACATGAAAGCTTTCCACACATAGCTAGTGAGGCCAAAATCTGAAGCCAGGTCAGGAGGATTCTGTCTTTGCTCTTTCCACTGCATCACGGGGATTCCCGTCCAGAAACACAAAGCCAATATAAACTGGAGGGGAAGCGCTACTCTTTCAGAACTGTTGGCTTAAAAGTCCCCAGAAATGAAAACTCTTAATTTACCCTGGAGGAATCTCTGGCTAGGACACAGAGAGGGGAGAGGGAACCTGGGAAGGGAGATGGAGGAAGGGGCTGGTGAGCAAAATGAGAGCGTGCTTCCGAATTAATCTGAAAATACCACTTAAGGTATTTTGACCCCTTTAAGTTGTCTTAAGCCTGAGATGCTTTCAGAGCAGTACCCTACATTCTTACGGCACTTAAACGTAAGAAGTGAAGAAAAATATAGAGAAGCTATAGTAGGAAGAAGGAACCAAAGGATACCTGGTTCTCATCCTGATGAATAGTAAGTGAAGGCACCCCATTCCTTCCAACCCAGCTCTGCCTCCAGATAACCCCCTGAGCCCTGTGAAAAGTGTTTTTCTTAAATCCAACCCTTTCCCCAATTTAGTAGGCCTGGGGTGGGACTCCGAAATCCGAAGGTCCTTTATAGACAAAGACAAGTTTGGGAATACCAGGTGAGATCTTCTCTTCCCTCCCCAGGAGAGGGGACGGTGAGAAGGCAGCCAGCTGATTGAGCACATTAAGTCACATAACCAGAGCCCACCAAGAAAGAACAGCTCCAATGCTACAAGGCCTAAGAATCCCTTCCTATTCCGGGGCAAAATGAATTATGCTCCATCTTCTTACTGCTTAAACTTGCCTTCGTTCTACAATGTACTAACCTGAAGAATGCCAGAAACCGCGCTGGTGAGGAATGCAACCTTTTTTTTAAATTGCCAGGGTTTCCTTGGAGGTATCAGCTGCTAGATCCTCCCCAGGCCGCTGGGCCATTAGCTCCTCTACTTGCCTCCTTCAAAGCTCCTCTGAGGAGGAGCTGCTATCAGAAGACTTCAAGGGCAGACAGGGACTGTGCCTCGGGAGACGAAGCGCGGCCTTACCCTGACGTCCAGCTTCGCCAGGTGCTGGAGAACCCAGATGCGATGGGACCAGGCGTTGTAGTTGCTCGGGTATCTCCCCGCCGCTTCACCACAGACCTCCATCTCTTCTCGGACCAGTCTCTGTGTCCTCTCCGCAGGAATTGCTGCTGGGTTTCCTTTCGTCACAAAGGCAGGCAAGGAGGTTTCCTGAATTAGCTGTTGTAGCACCCATCGCCTGTGAAGGTACACATGGGAATGAGAAAGAGGAAAGAACATAAACCAGAGAGGAAAACAACCAGTTTTCTTTGTTCTCAATCTCCACCCATACAATGCAAACTAATCCCTGTCTATGAGCCCAATTTGGGGGGAGGGGGATTATTCTGTTGTTTTTGTTGTTAAAGATGTCATTAAACTTCAGCACCACTGACGGGGAGGAGGGTGAAGAAAGGACAAACAGGAAAGAGAAACCTTTCTAAAACATTAAAATTTGTCAGAAAGAGAATGCTTCAGTTCCGATATGACAGCTCCAAAACTCCATTTGGCCAGAAAATGCAAAGACAGGGTGTGTACATGGAGGGGGGATTGCGGTGGTTGTGGTGGACGGGATATTAATTAATGGCTGGTAAATACCAGAAGAGGAGTCATGATTCACATCTTTAATTACATGTGCATGCCTCACCCTATGTGTATTTGCTTGCATACAAGAAGCTGCATTATGACTGCTTTCATTAAGCAGAATTTCTATGTTATAGCACAGAATCTGGAAGGACACAACCATCAGGAGGTTTTAAATGTCTTTATCCACAAATTTTTCCCTTGTCTTTTTAAGATTTTCATTAGCATACTTATTTAAATGAAAGGCACTAAAAAAACATCTCTAACCACTTAATGTGGTTAAGTTTTTTACAAATATTTTCTCATAAGAAGCACTCTTTTAGACTAAAAATGTCCAACCCAAAGGTTACTAGAAATTGAGTAAGAAAGCTCATTTTTTCCTTTTCAAATAGAATTTTACCTAACTTATAAAACAAAAGCTTGCTTTATATAAAATATTAGATAAGCCTATAAATTGGTGAATGCATATTCAATACTGCCCTCCCCTGCCCCCAGTCCTTTCCAAACCTCCACACGCACAACCACAGGCCTCTCTGAAGTGCTATCTCAATTCCTACTATGAAAAAACATCCAGCATGGAAGTAGCTGATTTGCAATGCTAGCCAAAGCCAAGATTACAGTGAAAATACCCTGAACTAACTAAGATCCTAAAAATGCTCAGGATTTAAGAAAAGTTGTAAGTGGCTTAGTAAACTGAAAACAGACTTCTTAAAGAATTTCTCCACCGACCCCAAGAAGCCACCAGCCCACACTATCTCATTTTAGTTAAAACTGGGTAGTTCCATGGAGTCCACGAGGAATACGCTCCAGAGAGCCAGGATGGTGAGGAGAGTTTTCACGTGCATTTTGGCTGACTCAGGCCTTTAACCTAAAAATACTCTCTGCATTTACAGTCTTAGGAACTTCAGCGCAGCCTACACACCACTCACCTCAGCTACCTTTATCGTTGTTATTTTGTTAATTTTAATAACTACAACCATCTATACCAGAAACACACCTGAATTAATTATAAAACCCAAGTTGCTCATTATAGTTGACTATCTAAATGCCATTTCTATGACTGCTCAGATAGTTCATAATGAACAATAACAGCTAAAATTTACTGAGTATTTAATGTGTGCCAGGCACCGTGGTGGTGCTAACATACATTATTTCATGTAAAGCCAACCATTAACTCTGAAATAGGTGTGACTGTTATTCCCATTTTACGAATGAGAAAACTGAGGCTTGAAGAGCTTAAATCATTTCTGAAGGTCACACAGGGAACAAGTGATGGCATCTGGAGTTAAAAAGTAGGTAACTTGACTTTAGAATTCATACTCTGAACCCGTATGTGACCCTGCTGGACACTGTTGTTTCTCCAGCCATTCTGAATCCTAAGAATCCTATAGTGTAAATTAACCACACCTGTGAATCCATGTTTCTGGACTCTTTGGAAATTTAGTTAAGGCCAGTTTTCCCAGATGTAAGTCCTTAACTGGATGTAAAGTGCCAGAGAGGATGAGCTCTTTTCTGTAAAAGAAAAATGAAAAGAACCATTATTCTACCTTTCCATCCAAACATACTGCATGGCTATTAACATAATCTCACTGGGAAGAAAAAAAATAAGACAACATGAAACTCTCATAAGTATCACACACGGTAATCAAGAATGTATTCTTGTAATCTCTAAGTAACAGGATTAATAAGCAGAAATAGAAGCTCTTAAATCAATAGTGGAACTTTAGTTACCTATTTGGGAAAGGGCAAAGAGGTTTTCTGGCTTGTCTCATTTCCAAAACTTACAAGGCCTGACATCAGTATCTGTAGGGCAGATCCAGTACTAGTCAAGAATTGTTCTAACTTCCCAAGTTGGACATGATATGATTCATTACCAAAAAATACATAAAGAGCAACACACACAGCATGATTAAGATGGAAAGAATCATCCACTACCCTAACAAAATTACTATTTTTATTTTTCAATTTTCCCTTTTGTCTTTCCTCATATGCATATACATTTTAACATATAATTTTATATTCTGCTTTATAGCTTAAGAATTATTCCATGGTGCTACATAATCTTTAAAGCGAACATTTAAATCGGTCAGGTAGTTTTCACTGAGTACTCTGTAATTTCATGACCTTTTCCTCTCTGGTTAGACATTTAGGTTGCTTCCAAGTTTTTGCTTTTCTGAAACAGAGCTTTGTGCTTAAGATGTCTTTCATTTCTGCTACTTAGGAAAGTTCCCAAAAGATGTTATTACCAAGTGAACTACCTGCATGGCCCTTGAGACACTAGACCATTTCTTTTTGAAATACAAATAGAAGTAAGAGCAACGTCAGGTTTTTGTTGCTGTTTTCAAAGTGTTCAAAGCTGCCATGTAATTATAAAGAACGTCATGAAAGAGCTCTCCACCTATTATTTCCCAAGTATATACGATTTAGGTTTTGATTTAATTTCTCAGGTATGCTTTTGATAATAAGCTCTGCTCTTACTGATTATACTCCCAATTAACTTTCAATGTATCTATTATAATAAAATTAGGTCATTTACTAGACTTTATTAATCTTAAAAAGTCCTTCCTGTGGTAGGGTTGATAATTCATTTATTTTAGAGAACTTTAGTTCCAAGAAGACCAGAGCCCAGATCCTATACCTCACCTACTTAGATGAATTTAGTTCCTAATTACCACCATGCATTGTCTTTCCAACAGCAATGTGCCATTTCTAGATTTTTATTTGATAAGGAAAATAACTTTCTTTTTAGTGAAAATACTGAACAGTGATGACAAATATTTGTATTTTACAATCATTTTAGGTCAGGCACTTCATTCCAGGATATGATTTCAAGTGATACTGAGAAGGTTTATGGGTACTTTAACAAATGGGTTTATTGGCTGTTTTTCTTTCAATGCACAGGAAGCCTATGTGTCACTGAAAGAGGATTTAATGCAACAGCCAATTACTTTTGCAGTCCTGCATCATTCTTCTTCTGAAATCAGTAATGTTTCATTATACAGTAAGTTAGGATACCTATAGTGTTCAAAGGAGGCAAAATAATATTCTGTATAATTTTAACTTCTTTGTAATGCAGTGTTTCTCAAAGTAAGGTCCTTAACTGCAACATTACCATCATCTGGAACTTGTAAGAAATACAGATTCTCAAGCCTCATCCCAGACCCGCTGAATCAAAAACTAGTGACAAAGCAATGTGTTTGAACAAGTGCTCCAGCTGATGCACACCAAAGTTTAAAAACCTCTATGGTACAGAATTTACTATATTAAGCCTAATTTCCATTTACTAAATTTAAAACCTCTCCTTATTACAACTGCCCACCTATACTCCCATATATATCTATGGGGAAATAGTCAAAATTTTCTTCAGAAAAGAGGAGTCACTTTATACCTGAATCTTTAAAAAGTTTCTTCAATTAGGGCTCCTTTAAAAAAAAAAGAAAGATTTTATTCATCTTGAGAGAGAGAAAAAGAAAGAGAGAAAGCAGGGGGAAGGGCAGAGGTAGAGGGAGAGGGAGAGAGAGAATCTCAACCAGACTCTGCGCTGCACGTGGAGCCGGACGCAGGGCTCTATCTTACAACCTGAGATCATGACCTGAGCCGAAATCAAGAGTCAGACACTCAACCCACTGAGCCACCCACATGCCCCTAGGGGTGCTCTCTTAATTTATTTTGCACAACATATTTGGGAAGAGATCTTAGCCTGAAACAACCCCAATCAAAGGTATACGTGGATGCTTAAAAAGATCACCTGACAGAATCATAAAAAAGGAAGCAAAATTTAAATATCAATTTAATAAACATTCTTGGGGACAGGACTGAACACTGTAGATGTTGAATATTACCATAAACAAATTTTTTTTAAATAATCTTTTTTTTTCCTAAAGATTTTATCTATTTATTTGAGAGAGAGCACGAGTGGGATGAGGGTGCAGAGGGAGAAGCAGGCTTCCCGCTGAGCAGGGAGACAGCCAGATGAGGGGCTTGATCCCAGGATCCTGGAATCATGATCTGAGTCAAAGGCAGACATTTAACCAACTGAGCCACCCAGAAGCCCCATAAACAAAATTTTTAAAGATCACTTGAAAAAGGAATATAGTAAATGATTACATTATAGCTATCACTTAAACAAGAGATATAATAAAAGAAAATCAACTACTGGAATGCATTCAAGTAGGGATCTATCTTGAGAAAAATTTCAGTCACACATGGATTCAAAAAGTGCTATATGTATCTCAAACAAGCTAGATATATGCACACATAATGTGCTCTGGAAAAAGGCTGGATAAGTTGAAAAAAATAACTTGTGATGACAAAATCACTGATGTCAATAAGCCACATGAGACATTTGAATTAAACTGTTTAATGAAATGTAAGAAAATGATGAATAATTAAAATACTTCACGTTATTTTAAAGGTATGTAACTAAATTTAAAAAGTAAGTATCATATTAAGACATTTGCTTATTTCATGCACATACCTTTAAGTTTACATATTATTATTAGCCTAAAATTTTTTTCTTGGACTTTTCTTATTGAGGAAGTGGAGTACTGCCTTAAATTTGAGGTAGCTTTATTTTCAGGCACATTGACTAAGCTGGGCTTTGAGATTCATCCTGAAAGCCTTAGGTGATACACTGCAAACAGAGAACGAAGGAATAAAACAAAGGTCAAATAAATGTGGGGGAGAAGTACGTAGGAAAGGAAAAGGCCACATGTGTTGTGTTGTAAAGAGGAGGGGGTGGTAGGGAACAGGGCCATGCTGTTTGTGCAACCTTGTTGTGGCATATTCCATGAAGGCTTTTCTAGTTCTACAAAGTTTACTTATTTATTTGTCAAAGAGAGAGAGAACACAAGTAGGGGGAGTGGCAGGCAGGGGGAGAAGCAGGCTCCCTGCTGAGCAAGGAGCCCGATGCGGGGCTCATGGGATCAGGACCTGAGCCGAAGGCAGACGCTTAACTGACTGAGCCACCCAGGTGTCCCTGGTTTATCTTATCTTTTTAAGTTTTTTCTGTCTTCTATCTCAGGCTATTAATTATGGTTTCTCTCTGCTGTCACTTGATTTAAAATTTGTAGGAAACCAGGGGCTATGTGTATCTTGTCCATGGTTAAATCTCCACTGGCTAGCTCAGTACTTGGAACACAGTATGACTGAATAAACAAATGCCATCTTTTTTACCCCCCGAATCTTTATTCTGTCTGAAATAATGATAATAATAAGAGTCATCTTCATAAAAATTACCATTTACTGAAAACTTCTCCTGAATCAGCCACTGTGTTAAGTGATTTGCATATATTATCTAATCTAATCCTCAAAACAATCCTGTATTATGTTGATATATATGAAATTGCTGATACTCAATTGTTGTTTTTGTTTTTTGTTTCTTTAAATAAACTTTTGGGGCACCTAGCTGGCTCGGTTGGTACAGCATGAGACTCTTGATCTCATGTTGTAAGTTCGAGCCCCACACTGGGTATAGAGATGACCTAAAAAATAAATAAAAATCTTAAAGTTTTAATCTGGGAATTGTTTTAAATTTACACTAAGGTTGTTAAGGACAGTATAGAGAACTCTCATATACCCTGTACCAGCTTCCCTTATTAATAATATATTATTATGGTACTTTGGTCGCAATTGATGAATCATTACCAGTAAATTACTACCGCAAGTCCATACTTTATTCAGAATTCCTTAGTTTTTACCACATGTCCTTTTTCTAGTCCAGCATCCTATCTAGAATATCACATTATATTTGGTTATGTCTCTACAGGCTCCTCCAATTATACCTTGCCATTTTATGAGTACTAATCAGGTATTTTGTATGATGTTTTTCTTACGGTTAGACTAGGGTTTTGAGGAGGAAGAGATCACAAAAGTGCCATCTTTATCACATCATATCAGGGGCACAAAATACCAGCGTGACTCGTCACTGCTGATGCTGACCTTGATTACCTGCCTAAGATGGTCTGTGTCCAGTTCCTCCACTGTACTTTTTGGAAGGAAGTTACACTTAAGGAGGAAGGGAGCTGGACTCCAACTCCTTGAAGGCGGTTGCCTAGATAAATTATTTAGAATCCTTCTATATGAGAGATTTGTCTGTTGTCTACTATTTGTTTGTTGCTTCTTCAATTATTTATGTCAGTATGAACATCCATTTTACACTTTAGGGCATAACCCAATATTATGTTATTTTACTGTTCAAATTGTTCCAGCTTTGGCCACTAGAAGCCCTCTGACATAGTTCCATCATTTTGTTTTTTGAGCACTTCCTTACTTTTTGGCTCTTTGAGATGTTCTAGATGAATCTTATAGATTTCCTGCCCTGGTCCTAGAATCAGACATTTCCTCAAGAAGCCTATTTCCATTTATTAAAGAATGGTGTAAGACACCAGGATCTGGATGCTTAGGTTGAACTATTTTTGTTTTATAAAAACAACAATTTCATATGGCACAACCTAGTATTACCTCAGTTTTACTGATGAGAAAACTGAAGCTGGGGGAGAATTAGTAACTTATACTCAAGGTCTGTGAACTCAAAGTGCCAGAACCAAACATCAAATCTGCATAAAATAAAGTCACCAATTGTAATAGGCTATGAGTAAAGGACATGATCACTAAAGCCTGGTGTTAGCTATTTTAGTTACTCAAAGAGGTTTTGCTTACTCTGTGTTCACAGACTGACGGAAAAAATAGGACACCGTTATGAAGTCAAGCTCTTTCACAAAATAATACACTGAATTTCAAAGCAAAAAAAGTACCAAATTTTTCTGTAACAGGTAGATTTTAAAAGTATATCCATCACTCACTGTAATTACAGGCAATCAACTCAAAAACCTATACTTGCATCTGTTTTTTCCCCAAGACCACAACACCTATAAAATGAACGACTGATGTATTAATACTATCTTCTAGCAGTTTATAAAATACAGTTAAAAATCACTCAATGCTTCCCAGTTACTGCAGAAGAAACACACCAACAATTAAACATGGAAGTGTTAAGTATTTGATTTGCGAGTGATCTTATAAGGTTAGACCAATTTACTTCCAAAGCTGGTGGTTTTTGCATAAAATGTACTACTGATTCTATGTCTTCATGTTAATTAATTTTACTAATACAAATTAAAACTTACTAGAATACATATCCACAATGCATCTTTTTAAAAATCAAGGTTTCCTTTTTATTCATCTAGCACAAAACTATATTTCTTTATTTTAAAGATTTTATTTATTTGACAGAGAGAGACACAGTGAGAGAGGGATCACAAGCAGGGGGAGTGGGAGAGGGAGAAGCAGGCTTCCCGTGGAGCAGGGAGCCCGATGCGGGGCTCGATCCCAGGACCCTGGGATCATGACCTGAGCCGAAGGCAGATGCTTAACAACTGAGCCACCCAGGCGCCCCAGCACAAAACTTTATTAATCTTACTAGAATACTTTTCAAAATCAACTGCTGTGAATATCACTGAAGTTAGATTACGCAGCCATTTTCCCTTTACACAACCAAACCACAGAAAATCACAAAACAGTTTGAAAGGAATCATAAAAAAATTACCTAGTTCAAACCTTTTATTTCACAGATATAGAAACTAAAGCTGCTCTGAAATTAAATCTTTTGCCTCAAGTCAACTGCTAGTTAATTAATGAAAAAGGACTAAGAGCCACATATCTGAAGACTAGGTTCTTTCTCCTACATTGAGCTGCCCTATAAAATATACAATAAATTACATATATATGTGTGTGTGTATATATGTATGTATATATGATTATATATGCATGTATTAGACTAGTAAGAATCGTTTCTTGTTGAAGGATTTTTCAAGTCCTCTATAATAATGAGGAATTGGAGAACATGAATAAAAATGGTACTCCTACTTCTCTATTACCCTCTTTTCATTTTCACTGAACTTAATTATTTTCAGTGCCCAGTCTGCAAACTGAATTATGTGCCAGGCACTAGAGGGCTGGATGCTAGGAAAACAAAGGAAAACAAAAAGACATGATCCCTACCCTTAAGAAAGCTCTCAGTTATAAGTTCATAGCACCCTCCTAAAAGTCTCCCTTGCTGATTCTTCCTCGTCGCACAAACTCTAGAACAGTGCTGTCCAACAGAAATATGTGAATCACCAATGTGAGCCATGTATGTAATTTCCAATTTCCCAACAGCTACATAGGTACCTCAAACAATCTCATGGCCTTAAATACCACCCATTTTCTAGTGACTCCCAAATTTCTATCAGGCTTAGAACTTCTGCCTCAACTTTAGATTCCCGCACACAAACCTAACCTGTCCCAAACTGAGCACCTGACTTCCACCTGGCACTCTCCACCTCAGTTTGCTCCTCTTCCAGACAGAGGACTGACTCTTTCTGTAAAGGGCATCTCCATCCTTTTAGCTGCTCAGGCCAAACACCGGAGTCCAGCTTGACCCTCTTCCTTCTCCTTCCTGCATCTAGTTCATCATCTGTCTTTAAAACTGTTTATTAAATACAGTCAAAGCTTATATAGTTCCTAAAATACAGTGAGAATCATTACTTCGCACCTTTTCTACTGCTCAGTTAGACTTCAAGTCACAAGCATCTCTCACCTAAATTACCACAACCACTACCTAACTTCCTAACCCCTCCCTGCACTCCTACAGTCTACTTTCCACAGGACCTAAACTTTTTAAACCTAAGCGCGATACTGTCCCTCCTCAGCTTTTATGACTTCTGATCTCACTCCAAGTAGAAGTCCAAGTTCCTCCAGCAGCGTAGGAAGATCAACAAAGCCCTATGAGGTATGGTCCATGACTCTCTCCCTCGTGCACGCTACTCCAGCAACACCGGGTACTGGCTGTCTTGCTGTCCCGGAACACCAAGGAACACCTTCAGCACCACTGAGAGCCTTCCCACTTGCTCCCGTTCCCTCTGCGTGGAATGCTCTTACCCCAGACACCACAGACTGATCCCCAAATCAGGCCAGTCTTTGCTCAGATGTCCCCTATGTAAAACTGCAATACTATTCTTCCCACTCTCTCTCTGGTCTTCCCCACTTTCTTGTCCCACTTTTTCTCCACAGGATTTAACCACCACTTGATTGCATGTATATTTTATTTAGTAATGTCTTTCTTTTCTTCCCCTAGTAGAATAAAATTCCACAAGGACAGGGTTTTGTTCATAATTCTATTTCCAGTGCCTAGAACTCAGCAGATAGCAATCAATAAATATTTGATAAATGAACAAATGCTGTCAAGTATTGTGTGGATTAAATTAGATCATGAATAAAGCTGTAATATTGTCCCTATAACACAGTAGCCACTCATGAACATTAGTCTTTTCCTTACCTGTGGTGGTGCTTTCCATAAAAGAAAAATCAGAATTCTAAAATTATGTAAATTTTAAAGCCTTATATCTCATTCTATACTTCTCTTACTCCTTACTCTAAATATGTGATCATTAATTATTCAAAAGACAACTTAAAAAGACATATAATAGAAATTGCCTAATTTTTAAAAATCAGTAGGTAGATACAAAATTCAGTAGGTATCATAGAACACTAACTCAGAATGTAACCTTGCTTAAAATACACAGAAAATTGAATAAAGTACTGTTTAAGTCATCTTTAAAGATTAAGAACCATAATTTATGGCTCTCTCCTATTGGAAAATTTAAAATGTATTCACAGTGTTCAACAGAACTTCACTTTTATTCATCTAGAACTTTATCCTGCTTTCCTCTAGGAGAATTTGTGTTAGTCTAAGAGACCACCATTTTTTTTTAAAAAAACCATACATACTGTTTAACTGAAAAAACTTCAATGAAAAAAAAATGAACCTGGTCTCAACTTTGGTATTTCTATATTTTGTGTTTAAAGCTAAAATAACTAGATTAAGGAACTAAGATATTAATAAAACGTGATCCCTTCCCAAAATACTGAGTGCCAGAGACTTCAAGTGATTGGCCCACAGAGGTCACAATGTTAGTGACTAAACTGAGACCAAAAAGTCATAGGCTTGAATCCTCATCCTACATACTTCCCACTGCACTTCACAAATATATAAACCAATGCCTCACAAACCAACCAATTACGCTAGCTGCCCCTACTCCTCTAAAAAGGAAGGAAAATAAAAACAAATGGTATACTGTAATTTGCAATGATGATTTCTATTTCAGACAGGAAAGTTTGTGGAGAAAAGACAGAAACATGCACAAAGGAGCTAAGTGTAAGTCAGAATTGTCCCAGAGATATTATAAAGATTGGGTAGAAGAAATAAGCATAAAATGCCATAGATACATGGTTTGTATTTCATTTTTCAAAAAGATGACAACTCATGGGGTTTACAGTTTTTCAGAAATTTGGACAATTTCATTTTATCACTGATGAGAATGACGTACCTTACGTTCCATGCAGTGGTAAAGTCTGGGTTTAGAAGCAGCAGGGTGCATGTGACATCTATCAGTTCTAAAATAAAGAGAAATCACATTATAAATAGTTCTACCCTTTGAAGCTTGGCTTTTCTTCAAGACCTTGTATATCTGTATCTTATCTTATGTTACTAATGTATATATACCATGTCATAGTAATTTTAATGGTAGATGCCCTGTTCTAAGCTGCCAAGACTTTTTTCTACTCTATGATAAAAATAACTCTTAAAAGTTGACACTGAAACAACTTTACAATACAATATGCCTAGAAAGACTATTCACTCATTCTTTTAAGAGTTTTTGGCTCTAATTTAATATTGACCAAGGAAAAGAAATAAAATTTCCATACCGTTATTCTTTTAATTCCACAAACATTTCAATAATAGTGCAAATTTTCAAAAGGGGAAAAAAGACCCACTCATAATCATTTAAAACAATTCATTTACATTCTCCTGCAAAGATTATCCTTTCTTACCCATATTTTTACATAGCCGTAGCAATGATAAATGCACCACTTTGTTCTCTTTTTTTCTGTCAATATTATTTGACATGCATTCTCCCATATTGCTACAGTATGCATTTTTAACAGCTGTATAACAATCCCTTAGTGTAATATACTAACATTTATCTTTATTATTCTTTAGGCTTTTTCCTGTTTGTTTTTACTACTATAGTTAATATTACTAGAAACACACTTTTTATCTCACAGATTATTTTCTCAGGACATAATTCCAGGAGTTGAACTATTATGTCAAACAATATAAATACCAGTATGGCTCCTACTAAGCATTTCCAAACTGTCCTTCAAATGAATGGTATCTATTCATATCTCCAAGAGTAACAGGAGTGCACTTATGTCCCTGTAACTCTAACCTATATAACCGCATTTAAAAAATGAATGCATCAGATAAAAAAATACTTTGTTTTATTTTACAACTTTATAACCATTAATATGAACTTTTTTCCTTTTTCTTTAGTATTTTCTATTTTCATTTTTTAACAGCCTATTCAATATTCATTAGCTATTTGGTGATCATGGTATTGACAGAATTCCCATATATTCAAATAAGCTCCATAAGCTTGTTTAATAGAGCAAAATCAGGGGCGCCTGGGTGGCTCAGTTAGTTAAGCGTCTGCCTTTGGCTCAGGTCATGATCCCAGGGTTCTGGGATCGAGCCGTACATCGGGCTCCCTGCTCCTCAGGGAGCCTGCTTCTCCCTCTCCCTCTGCCTGCTACTCTGCCTGCTTGTGTTCTCTCTGCCAAATAAATAAATAAAAAATCTTAAAAAAAAAAAACCAGAGCAAAATCAGCAATATAGTTAGACATACTGTCTTCATTTTACTAAAACTGAAAAGAGAATTTTAGGATTAAGATGATCAATGTAGGGGCATGAAATTAAGGGAACTTCTACCAAGCTCATATTAAACACAAGGTAAAATAAAATAATAAAAATAATTATAATTATTTAGCATTAGTGTATACCAGATACCACTGGAAGTCCTTTATTTACATTATTTCACTGAGTTCCCATGATTATGGTTCAAGATATTCTTGTTTTGCTTCAGAGATAAGGAAATTGACATTTAGAGAGTTTAAATAATTTGTCCCTGGGCACCCAACTGGTATATGGCAAAGTCAGCATCTGACTATTTTTAATAACTCAATTACACGGCAATTAAAACACCTGTCTATAATAAATAATGGGGACATCTCAGTGTTTAATAGACTTTTTAAAACATAAGAACATGCATGGGGCGCCTGGATGGCTTAGTCAGTTAAGCACCTGGGTGGCTCAGGTCATGATCTCAGGGTCCTGGGATCAAGTCCCACATCGGGCTTCCTGCCTAGTGGGGAGCCTGCTTCTCCCTCTGCCTGCCGCTCCCCCTGCTTGTGCTCTCTCTCTCTCAAATAAATAAAATCTTAAAAAAAAAAAAAAAAAAAAGAACATGCATAAATATACCTCTATAGTCATTTTTATTTTTTTTTTAAAGATTTTATTTATTTATTTCACAGAGAGAGACACAGCGCGAGAGGGAACACAGGCAGGGGGGAGTGGAAGAGGGAGAAGCAGGCTTCCCGCTGAGCAGGGAGCTCGATGCAGGGCTCAACCCCAGGACCCTGGGATCATGACCTGAGCCAACGGCAGACGTTTAACTACTGAGCCACCGAGGTGCCCTACCTCTATAGTAATTTTAAAATACTCTAAGTGAACAAAAAAATCAATTATTTCATTCTCAACCATCTTAATAAAAGAAATTAACAATTATTGTGAGGCTATGATTTCATTACTGTAACATTCAATAAATGATACGATTAGCATACATTTTTGACTTCTTTCTTCCGCGTTACAAGTCATTATATGCATAAACACAGTATGTCCGTAAAGAATAATCTAATTAACCTCTTCATTCTTTTACTTTTAAGAAGCTTTTGGCACTAATTTAATATTTACCAAGAAAAATATAATTTTCTATACCATTATTTAATTCCACAGTATCCCAAGTATTAATTATGTTCAAATATTAAACTGGGACCTTAGGACTGACAGAAGGGATATAATGATAAATAAGACCTAATCTTGCCTTCTAAAAGGTTACCCTTTAGTTGGAGAGAACATACAAAGAATTATATAAGACAGAATGAAATAATTATGAACTGGAAACATATACCATATTTTGGGAACCACCAAAGCAGTTGAAATTAATTCTCACTGGAGTACCCAGGGAAGGCTATAAATGAATGAAGTGGTAAAGAGCACTGCAGACTGGAAAGAAGGAGCAAGGATAAAGAGGCATGGAAGTTCACACAGGGTGCTCTCCAAGAGATTGTGGGTATCAGAGCTTGACTAGAGCACGAGATACTGGGGAAATGTGCCAGAAAACTAGAACCTGGTGAGAAACAAGAACCCACAATCTCCTTGTCAGCCTCCTTTCTACTACCTGCCCTTCACATACTATACTCCACCAGAGCCAAACCCCACCATTCTCTAAACACAACTCCTATCTGACTACCTTCTCTGGATAATTCAGATTTACCTGCTTGCTCTTCTCTGCCAGAAATGTTCTCCTAGATCTGAATATCAAAACAAAACAACTTTCTTCATAAAGTCTCTCCTGACCTACCTACCTGGAAGCAATCTTTATTTCTATGTTCTGTATGTATCTTACTTTGTTACTGATACTGTATAAATAATCTCTTCTTGATGAGACTACATTTTCTGGAGGCAGGTCCTCTCTAACACATCTTCAGATTACTCATTCACTTAACAAAGATGAGAAAAATATGGCCCCTGTCCAAAAGAAGTTCCATGTGTACCCACAGCACAGAGGAGTTGTAAGCCATGCCACCTGGGTTTGAATCCCAGCTTCTCCACTTAATTGCCTATGTAACATAATGTTTTCGAACTTCAGTTTCCTTATCTGTGAAATAAGGATGATGAGAACATCAGTCTCTGTTGTGAGCCAATGAGATTCATTCCAGTTCTCCACAGCTATTTGACACACAGTGAATACTCAACCAAACCAAAGATTTGTTCAACGAAATACCATTGCCACTTACCAAGAAATGAATACTTTCAACATTAATCAAAGAAATCAGAAATGAGGCTGTTGTTCTTACAGTGAAACTATCTAAATTTCTAAACTTATAAAAAAAGGAATGAAAAAAACCAACGTGTTAAGGAGCTATATGGAAATGCTTCTGCATGATGGGAAGACTTCTATAATTTCTTTTCAAGTCTACAATTTTTCAAAATCCATTCTACTACCTAGGTAACCTGGTGCTTATTGGACTCTCCCTTTTTGCATTAAGAAATGTGTGTAACCAACGGTAGTCGCCATTTGTTTGTACAGCTGACCCCTGAACAACATGGGTTTGTACCTCACAGGTCCATTTATATGCTACTTTTTTCCAATAAATACAGTATAGCACTGTAAATGTATTTTCTCTTCTTTATGATTTTCTTAACATTCTTTTCTCTAGCTTACTTTATTGTAAGAATACAGTAAATAATACATGTAACATACAAAATACGTGTTGACGATTCATGTTATCAGTAAGGCTTCTGATCAACAATAGGCTGTTACTAGTTAAGTTTTGGGGGAGTCAAAAGTTATACGCATATTTTTGAATGCACTAGGCGTGGTTGAGTCCAGCGCCCCAATCCCTGCATTGCTGAAGGGTCAATTGTACTTCTAACACAACTCTCCTCTCCCACTCATAATTGAAGACAAGTCCATCCTCCAACACAGAGATACTTCTATATAGCAAGGCAAGGCAGAAACCAGTAAACACAGAATATACCCAAGTTGCCACTTTTCATTTTGTGGCTGTGTGGAAAGGAAAGCTAATCAAAGTAAGGCTTCCTCTACCAGAGGGACTCACCCTACCTGGTAGGGCAACAGCAATTGCTGGATTCAAAGCCCAGCTCTAACAATTCCCAGAAAGTTCCTGGGCAAGTCACTTAATCTCTCTGTGCCTCTGTGTCCTCCTCATATGTAAAATGGAGCTAATAACTGTACTACCTCATGGGGTATTAAATGATTCACACTCATGAAGCGTTAGGACAATACCTGACACACAGTAAGCACTCAATGAGAATTCCAGTTTCAAAGCCTGTATCTCCTAGCCCAGTTCCTGGGATTGGATGCCACCAGAGGGAGGAAAACAATCTCCTAAGCTCGCTAAGGAGTGACTTCTGAGCAGGTTATTTCTCACCTTCTCAGCATCTCAGGATTTAAAACATCAACACCCTCACGGGTTGTGCATAAAACACATACAGCCACAAGCCCCTTTTCCCTTCTCTCTGACAAACTGCCAACTCCTCCCCACTCAGGACTCAAGTTCAGATAGGACCTCCTTCAGGAAGCATTCCAGTCAGATCCAAGAGGTGCGGGTGAAGTGAAATTTCAGAAATGGGAAAGGGCCAAAGAAAGAGAAGTAACCAGTTTAGAAATATTGGACATAATGAAAGAATCATTCCCGAATTACATGTATTTTTCTTTTTTTCTTCCCCACTGGTTCTGGTTAAATCAGAG